TGCCTGCTGCTGCCTGTTCTCTCGGCAAAGCCCCAGCAACCCCACTCCAGCAGCAGCCCCCTTATCCCCCTGGGATCCTCCAAGTCACTGCTGGGACCCCTTGGAGACCCTTCTCGGCTTCACCTGCTCCAGCAGCTCCTGTCCCACCGCGGGGAGGATGAGCTGTGAAAGCGAAGCAGCAGGACCGCAGCAGCATCCTCATCCTGCATGGCTCTGTCTTGCCGGAAAGGTGCCGGGTTTTGAATCCTTTCTTCATCTCTGGGATCATTCACACCTCGCTGGGTTGTAATTAGAGCTGAGATGGACAGGGAGGATCTCAGCTCTGGCTTGCTCAGGCAGTGCTGGATAATAACTGGTAGCTGACGCTGTTCTATAGCCTTCCTGCTGGGAAGCAATGGATTTGTCCGGCTGCCGTCAGACGTCGCAAAAAAGCTGGATCCCAGCTTGGGTTTTTGTGGGTTTTGTGCCAGATGGAGCACGAAGCAGGAGAAAGAAGAGCTGGCGGCCTCAGGGAGAGTGGTGCTGGAGCTGGCCCTGCCCTGGGCAGCCGCACGGTGTGAGGGCGGATGGAGCAGCGTTGCCAGCACTGGTGTCTCGAGGGGCTGGAGGATGCTCAGGGAAGACGGCAGTCCTGCCAGAATGGGGCTTTTTGTTTTGCAACACAAGTTGGATGTATGGAAAGATGGAATGTTTTAGCTGAACCCATCCCTAAAAATGAAACTGGTGGAGACCTGAGCTTGGAGCCCTCATGGCAACTTCGGCGGCACGTGCAGACCACCGGCGCTGGGGCTTGAAAACGTTGATTGGTGACACGTCCCCTGAAGCTCTGCAGGATGGCCTGGGAGTGTTTAAGCTGTAGTTGGTGATGCACTGGTGACCTCGGCTCGGATCCTGAGCTTTGCCATCCCCTCTGTGCCAGGAGCGACGGCCCTGTCTAAACCTGGGGACGCTGGGGACAGATCATTCGGCAGCATCTCTTGGTGTGTGTCCCCAGGAGCTCCTTTGGCTCGGCAGCGGGTGCTGAGCACAGATCACCTGCAAACTCCCTCGAGTTGGGCGTCAAAGCACCGACGGACCAGCCTCGTGTTCACCCAGCCTCGCTCATCCGACACTGATCCCCGTTTTTTTCCTCTGTAGGAAACCCGGCTGAACTGTGTCCGGATCGCCCGCAAAGGTGAGCCCTCCCTTTCCCGGTGTGATCCCGCAGCCATGCTGGCGAGTGTCGTTACCAGTGTTGCCAGCGGTCGTGGTGCATGTGGTGGTTTATTCCAGTCCCATCCCATGCTGTTGTTTCCTATTTTCTTTGGTGTCTGTGTTTTTCCCCAGTTGAGTTTTTCCTCTTAATGCTATGGGGTTGAGTTCTTCCTCTTCTTGTGGTGGGAGGCTGGAGTCGGTGATGCTTTATGCTGAATCCGGGGATGGACAAGATTTCATTGAGCATCACAAAGGGTGGCAAAAAGGGACCCTCTCACCCCGCGTGAACCGAGGCTGGGACTAGCCCACGGTCACGGTGTGGCACTGCAGAGCCCCGTACTGTCTTGGTGGAATCAAACATGTTCAAGGAGCAGTGTGCATCCCATGGGACAGATCCCGGTGTTTTCCCATCTGGTGTTGCCAGCCCCCCTGGAGGTGAGTGTTGACCCCTCCTGCCTGTCCTTGTCCCCTGGCAGCTGCCTGTAAAGAGAGTAAGCGTCCCTTGGAGGTGTCGCAGCACTCGGAGGAGATGGGCCTGATCCTGGGGATCTGTGCCGGAGGGCTCATCGTCCTGATCATCCTCCTGGGAGCCATCATTGTCGTCATTCGGAAAGGGTAAGGAGACCCGGCATCGCGGCTGGTGCCTCCGTCCATCCCCTCCTCCCAGCTCAGCTCTTCTCCACCAGCCCAGCACTAACTGGGAGTTACTGGTGGTGATACTGCTGTGCTGGGCACACTTCAAACCTTCCCTTGAGCTGTGCCTCCATGTGCTTGTGCATCCCACTGGGCACAGTGCCCTCCTTGCTCTGTGACACCAAGCATGGCAGGAGGCTCTGGGGACATCCCTTCACTCCTGGGGCTCTGCAGCTTTGTTCCACTGTCCCTCTCTCCAGTATTTTTCAGTCTTTTGCCTCTTTTTCTGCTTCTTCTTGGCTTTGTGCTGTGCTGTTGATTCTGCATCAGTTGAAATGTTTCTGGCCAGGATCAGGCTTGGAGGGGCCCTGGGCCAGTGCTGAGCCTGTCTGTCCCCATCCTCCCAGCTGTCCCCCTGCTAACAGCAGCTGGGGGACCCCAGAGTGTGCAGTCCTGCACCCTCCAGCCCAAAATTACAAAAATCAGCTTAACCTGCCATGAGATACTGTCTCTGGGTTCCCCGCTGCCTTGGCTAGACCAGGGCCCGCATCCGTCTGCTGGATTGTGGCTGACGGGGTCTGGCCGGGCTGGTACCCTGCCATCAGGGATGGGCCCACATAGGATGCATTCCCTTGCATTGAGCTAGTGTTCCTGGAGACGGGAGGAGGGGAAGGCATTGCCCCTCTGCTGTGCCCCCAGGACTGTGGGTGAGCACCCAGCACCTCCCAGCACTCGGGGAGCAGGCCACGGGGGTGCTCGGTTCTGGGGTGATGGCTGGAAAAAACCACCCATGGCTCTAGCCTCGAAGGTGATGCGGTGAAAGGGCTGCAGCACCTGGGCAGACTCTGGCTCCAGTTCCTCTAGGTTGCTGGGAGAAGCAGCATCTCCCCTTCCTCCCGGGCCAGACAGAGGGCTGCCTGCCGCTGCCCGCCCTGGGGTGCGGGTGCTCGGATCATCCTGCAGCCTCCTGGGCTTGTTTTAATGGGTAACCACTGAGCTTCCAGTGAAATGTGAGCAATCCCGGGCTGAGAGCCTTCAGCTTGCTCTAAATGAGTCATTAATTTTTGGGTGCACACCGGAGGGGAGGTTTTCCCAGGGCTGATGGTCCCTGGGGACCCCCAAACTGCTCTCCCACCCCCATGGGGTCCCCACACTCCCCAGCTCACTGTCTGGGAAGCTGAGCACAGCTGGTGTGTGGATGCGATCGTGGCCATTACGGTGGGCTTTTGCTCGGGAAGCTCGGTGGGGTGGGAGGGGAGAGGATGAGGCCTTTTCGGGACACTCACCCCCGGGAGCACTGGGGATGCGGCCGCTGCTTTTCGCTTGGGCGCAGTGCCCTGGAAAGCGGCTTCTTCCCGTGTGGGGCTCAAGGCGAGGCTGAGCCAGGGGGGCTCTCAAAGCCAGGGAGAAAGGGCAGCAATTAAACGCCTTCCCGTGCAGGGCTGCGGATGATGCGAGGAAAGTACGTTAACAGCCGGGGGGAGAGAAAAACAGCAGGGCACAACCTCAGCCCGTGCAAAGCTGCAAAGCTCTTTATGGCTTCGTTCGCCCGGAAGGGATTCTTGCTGATTTACGCCAGCTGGAAAAGCAAGGCTGTAGCATCCCTGTGCACATTCCGATGTGGTTTTGGGGGTGATGCTGTCGGGACTATGGGTAGGAAGTCACGAGTGCGGCCGCTGCATTCCCATTGCGAGCGCTGTGGGGCGGGAGGGGGAGGAGGAGCTGCTTTGCTTCAGCATCCTGGGGTGAACCTGTCGAAGGACAAACCAGAGCACAAATCAGACCCTGTGCTGAGGAACACAGATTTGGTGCAGTTGGAAAGCTGGGATGAGGTCATAAATCTCCTTTGGAGCATTTTGCTGTTGGAAAAACACTGATGAGGAATGGCCATGCACCCCCAGAATGTGCTTGCCCCTAATCAATGGTGCACTGGAAACACGGCGTCCTGTCCCCATCCCCCCCAGTGGGGCTGCTTGGCCCTGCTAACCAGGGCATGCCCTGCGTTTTTGACGCGTTTGCTGTTCAGTCTTAAAAATTGTGGAATGATCCCTTGGACAAAGGTGTTATGGACACTCCATTGCCAGCATGGAGAGCCCTGAGAGCCGGTGCTTGGGCTCTGCTGCCGGGATGCCGGCTCCTGCCTGGAGTAAATAACCGATGGATGCAAGAGGGGAGCCAGGTTTTTTTACGGTGCATTTAATTCTCCAGCAGCTGAGTTGCCCCGTAACCCCCCTTCCCTATGCCAGAGGAAAGCTGCTTATGCAATTTCTGCTGTTCTCTTTGTTTGCATGCTTGCCAGGAGGAACTACTATTCTTATTCCTATTACCCGTAAGTAATTGTCTTTCTCTCTCCTTCGCCCTTCCTCCCAGCTGCCCTCCTCGTCCTGCTGCTCCAACAAGTCCTTTTCTTTGCCGAGTACATTTGAGGGCCTCTTTGACTTGGGGAAAATAATGCTGCTGAGCTTGTTGGAGACCGAAGGCGGCATAAAGGGGGAGGGTCAGTGACTCTGGGTTGAATTCTGAATTTTGGCAGCATCTTGAGGTGTCCTGGCCCTGCCAAGATGCTGTCATGGGCTCGGATCTGTTCATCCTTGCCCTGGTTTAATCTGTGCTCTGGCTTCTTGGGATCCTGATGCTGCCTCTCAGTAATAAGATTTTTTTGCCTAAATGTCTCAATTTTGGGGTGTGAGGATCTGCTCCAACAAGAGCTCCTGGGCTTTCCCAGCATCTTCGTTAGGTGCTTAACGGGGACCTTTCCTGAGGGGAAGAAGCCTCCTTGGCGGGTGCTGAGTGTGTGCGGTCAGAGGGCCCAGCCCGCCCCTTGGGTTGGATTTAATCCCAGCATCTTTGTTAGGTGCTTAACGGGGACCTTGCCTGAGGGGAAGAAGCCTCCCTGGAGGGTGCTGAGTGTGTGTGGTCAGAGGGTCCAGCCCGCCCCTTGGGTTGGATTTAGTCCTTTGTCATGGATTTAGAATCACAGAATGGTTT